TATTTGAGAACTGTGCAGCACCAAACCTCCAGACTCCCACTCTTCCACCCTTGGGGAAGCTCAGTGCACTGAATGTAGCCGCACCACCCCTGTGTGGGTTCTTTTTGCAGTGGAGGAGGCGGATGAAATGCTGATAAAATGCGAAGGCGGCGTCGATGCGGCCCTGGAGTATGCCAAAATGTGGTGTAAATACGTCAAGGAGCTCCTCAGCTGGATCGAGAAACGCCTGAATTATGGTGAGTGGGGCTGCACAGCTCCATCTGAGAGCCCGCATGCTATTTATTTTTATATACACACTTCATAGCTTTTTTAAAACAAATCATAGCCAAGGACGCTCCATTGCAAACAAAGGTAGAGCGATGAGAAACGTATTTTTGTTCACATATGAAGGCAAAGAGGGGGAGTCAGAATTATTTCCTTACCAAAATGATCCCAACGAGCAGCACGTTGGCGCCCGCCTTTCAGCCGGCGTCCAATCCCCTCTGCCCTCTTACAGAGACAGAGTTTGCCAAGGGGATCGTGAAGATAGCGGAGTCGGGACGGAACACCATCATCCACCAGGTACAATCCTTGGGGTTCCCTGAGAGCAAACACGAGGAAGCTGTGTTGCTGCTGTAAATCCACGTGCAGATAACAAAAGCTCCCAAATTTAGGGGAGCTGAGGGGATGATCCACTGTTTGACACCCTATTTTTTTTTTGTTTTGTTTTGTTTCTGCAGTCCAATATGCCTCTTCGGGCGCTCTACACGATGGTCTTGGAGCACGATATCAAGATTGGAAATGCAGCCAGTGAGACAGTGGGGTTGCTCCAACAGAAGGAATTCTACCAGGTGCCGTATTTATGGACAACCATTGGAGGATTCTCAAGTCTGGGGTATTGGAGTGACCAAACCGGGGGGATTTATCCTCATTTGGGTTAATGGGAAGAGAGAAGGGAACGCAAAGAAGGCTAAGGGAAAAGGAAACATCTTCCTGTGGTTGGGTTCTAGTGTTGTGCCCCCAACTGTCTGGTGCATCTGGCCACCTCCCAGGAAATGGATTTGATGATCTTAGGGGTCTTTTCTGACCTTCAAGATTCTAAATGTTCCACCCTAACCGTGACCCCTCTGCAGCCTCTGTCGGCCAAGAAGAACGAGATCGAGAAGTGGAGGAAAGAGTTCAAAGACCAGTGGACAAAGGAGCAGAAGAGGATGGTAAGGGGCTGAACGATGGGCGAGATCCTCTGACAGCTCAAAACGCTGGGGAAAAAAAATAAATCTAAATAATGTAACATGCATCCTGCTAAGAACACCATTAGGGCACCTAAACTGTGGGAGGAGAAGAAGGGAGAGCATTGGAGATGGGTGCTTTCCTCCCAGGCATCTCTCCTCCCCAGGGCTTCCTAAATCTCCCTTTGTCTGTTCAAGAACGAATCCCTGTCCTTGCTGCGCAAATCCCGCCTGCAGTACATCCAGCGCTGCGAGGAGCTGGAGAAAGCCAAGCAGCTGAGTGCCAAGGCAGAGGATGAGTACCAGAACTCGGCCGTCATCAGCCCCAGCAGTGCCACCAAGCAGCTGGAGAAGCGACGGCGCTCCTGCGAGGAGGCACAAGCCAAGGTGACACGTGAGAATGAAGCACCTCCGCTATGGGGGGAAAGGTGGAGGGAGGTGGGGGGTGTGCAGCTGGGGAGGAGAAGGCTCCAGAGAGACCTCCTGGTGGCCTTCCAGAGCCTGAGGGGATCTAATAAGCAGGAGGAAGAGAGAACTTACGTGGGCAGAGTGATAGAGCCCTTCTAACCCAACCATTCCATGGTTCCATGGTTCTGTGATCTTTAAGGACCCTTCCAACCCAACCATTCTATTGTTCAGTGATCCATAAGGACCCTTCCAACCCAATCATTCTATGGTTCCACAGTTCTGTGATCTTTAAGGACCCTTCCAACCCAATGCATTCCACTGTTCTATGATTTTTAAGGACCATTCCAACCCAACCCCAAATAATTCCATTGTTCTATGATCTATAAGGACCCTTCCAACCCAACCTTTCTATGTTTCCACAGTTCTGTGATCTTTAATGACTCTTCCAACCCAACCTTTCTACGGTTCCTTGGTTCTGCGATCTTCAAGGACCCTTCTAACCCAACCCCAAGCTGTTCTATTGTTCTATGATCTTTAAGGACCCTTCCAACCCAACCATTCTATTGTTCTATGATCTATAAGGACCCTTCCAACCCAGCCCATTCTATGGTTCCACGGTTCTGTGATCTCTAATGACTCTTCCAACCCAACCTTTCTATGGTTCCACGGTTCTGTGATCTTTAATGACTCTTCCAACCCAACCTTTCTACGGTTCCTTGGTTCTGCGATCTTCAAGGACCCTTCTAACCCAACCCCAAACTGTTCTATTGTTCTATGATCTTTAAGGACCCTTCCAACCCAACCATTCTATGGTTCTATGATCTATAAGGACCCTTCCAACCCAGCCCACTCCAAGGTCCCATAACCTTTAAGGTTCCTGCCAATCCAACCCATTCTGTGTTTCTATAGTGAGGTGAGGAGCTTGGAGCCAGCTGCTGTTACTCCTGCTTCCCTCCCATCCCGGTGACGATTCCTCCTTTCTCTGCTTCTCACCACACGCAGGTTCTGGAAGCAGAATCTTGGTACAAGATGTGCATCAACGATGCCAACTTTCGGCGACAGGAACTGGAGAAGGTGCGGGCGCGGATCGTCTCCCACGTTCGGAAGCTCATTTACCAAGGAGATGAGGTGCTGACACGGGTATGTCTCCTAATTTCTCCTCCAATCCTCATTTCAGAGAAAAACACTCTTTGGGATAAGACCTTGAGGCTCTTCTGTGTTTTACTGTGGAACTTCCCTTTGTTTGGGCGTTCTCCAGCAGGTGAAATTAGAGAGCACTCTGGACTTACCTGTCGCTTGAAATGTATGGAGTTATTGCTGCTGGGAGGGTGGATATCCACAGGAAAACACTAGGAAAACAAAGAGTAACAGATAATTTCTATGCTCCACTCCTCTACCCCCATTTTTAGAAGAGAATGAAAGCATTAAGCAGAAGTATCATAGAATAGATAGGGATGGAAGAGACTTTAAAGATCGTAGAACCATGGGGTGGGTTGGGTTGGAAGGGTCCTTAATGATCATAGAACCATAGAAGCATGAAGTGGTTGAGTTGGAAGGGATCCTAAATATCATAGAACCATAGGAGCATGGAGTGAGTTGGTTTGGGAGGGATCCTGAAGGTCGCAGAACCACGGAATGGATGTGAAAGGACCCTAAAGATCACAGAACAATAAAACCATGGCGTGAGTTAGGATGGATTGGACCCTAAAGATCATAGAACCATAGAAAGGTTGGGTTGGAAAGGTAAAGATTATGGAACCATGGAATGGGTTGGAGACCACTGAGCGACACTGTGTTGGAAGGAACCCTAGAGATCATAGAACCATAGAATTGTGGAGTGGGTTGGGTTGGATGGGACCCTAAAGATCACAGAATCGTGGAATGGATTGGAGAGGACCCCAAAGATCACAGAACCATGGAGTGTTGGGTTGGAAGAAACCTTAAAGCCAATCCAATGAGGTCCAAGAGAAGAAAAAGCACCTGGGCAAAAATGCAGTTTTCTTCCCTTCCTTTCTCCAATAAGGTCACGTTGAGGATGTTTAAGCAGAGGCAGACTCAGTCAGAACGGATTCCAGTGGGATACCAGCACCTATCCGAGGTCTGCAAGCCATACAGAGTGGGTGAGAAATACCTGGAGTTCATCCAGGCTCTGCAGAAGAAAGACATTCCCATGGAGCATTTTGAGTTCGAGCCGCTCTCTTCTGGAGGACAGAGGTGAGAAGAAATGGTGCTGGGTTCCTTCAGTGCTTTCCCTGCAGGTGGGATTACATCAACCAAATGCTTTCCCAGCTTTGTGCAAGCGTTTAGTTTCCTTGAAAACTCAGTTTATACCTCATAACCTGACTGAAACGGATGCTTCATCTCTGGTATCCAGAAAGCATCTCCACCACACGATGCCATTCCTTATCCTGCACTGACAGAAAACCATTTGCAATCCCTCCCCAGGTCTCCTCCCAGCAATAAAAAGAAGACACCACTGCACTATACGGGATGCAGCAAGGATGGGAGCACCCCAGAGGATACACCCAGAAGGCAGATCTCCCCAAATGGTGAATAGAGTGGGTTGAATTGAAGAAAAACCTATTTTTTTTCTTTTTAATTTGAGCTCCTCTATGCGTAATTTAGATGCCGCTGTTGTCCAGTTGTAATTCTAAGCTGTTACCCTGAGGTTCGCTGGGGGTGGTTGGTCACCATATCCACCTTCTGTAGGTGTGAACAAATCCCTCTGCAGCGACACGGAGAGCCTCGGTGGGAGCTGTGAGTCACGATCCCTGGATTCTCCCAGCTCCAGTCCAGGTGAGAGCTGCACAAGATGCCCTCTTAAAAAAAAAGCAAAAACAAACACCCACAATAAACTAAAAAAAAACCAACAAGGATGGGAGTGGAGCAGGCACCGAACCGCAAAGGAGATCACGAGGATGGGAACAGCATTTTGTGTTTGCTCTTTTCTCAAGGAAACTCCACCAGGAAACTACTGAAAGCTTCGTCTACGGGCACCATGTCCTCCTCGGATGACTTTGAAGAGAGAGATTCATTGCAAACTTCTGAAAATGGTGAGCAGCAGAGACTGAGGAGATGGAAAGCTGTGCTTTCCCACTTACGTACCAACTCCTTCTCATGCTTTAATGCTGTTCCTGCAGAAAATGGCACATCCCAGCAGCAGATCAGGAATGCTCTCCTCTCCAGTGCAGCACAGACCCACCGACTCAGGAAACTGCGGGGACCAACCAAGTGCAGGGAGTGTGACACTTTCATGGTCAACGGCTTCGAGTGCGAGGAGGTGAGAGCTGTCATCGCACGCACCTCGTGTGGCACCGTGGGGTGACGAGCAGCTCACTGTAGGAACGTAAGACTTCCCCTCACCCCATAAAATCGCATGCTTTTTTCCCCTCTCATGACACAAGGTGCAGTTTTGGGTCCGTAAGTAAGACACCAGCTGCCCAAAACAGTACCAAGAAGGCACCGTAGGGCTCGGGTGGAAAGGGAACGGGAAAAGTCATGTTTGATATCTCCATCAGCCAGCAGGGTGAAGGGATGGAGCTTGCCCATAGAATGGTTGGTGATGGCACAGAGCTGGGAGGGGTGGCTGCCACCCCAGGAGGCCATGGTGCTGTTCAGTGGGACCTGGACAGTCTGAGAGTAGGGCAGATAAAAACCAGATGGCGTTCAACAAGGGCGGGGGTAGGGTTCAGAATCTGGAGGGCTTGCATCCATCCATCGCATGCATCCATCTGGGTTGGGGCTGAGCTGTGAAAAGGAGCTCTGCAGAGAAGGTCCAAGGCTTTGATTGACCAACGGTTGACCAATGGTTGACCATGAGCCAGCAGTGTGCCCTGGTGGCCAAGAAAGGCCAATAATGGTCGACTTCAACAGGTCGACTCCAGTGGTGGCCAACAGGTTGACCAAGGGTTGACTGTGAGTCAGCAGTATATCCTGGTGGCCAAGAAGGGCCAATAATGGACAACAGGTCGACTTCGGTGGTGGCCAAGAGGTTGACCAATGGTTGACTGAGTCAGCAGTATATCCTGGTGGCCAAGAAGGGCCAATAATGGTCAACAGGTCGGCTCCAGTGGTGGCCAACAGGTAGACCAAGGGTTGACTGTGAGTCAGCAGTAGATCCTGGTGGCCAAGAAGGGCCAATAATGGACAACAGGTCGGCTCCAGTGGTGGCCAACAGGTAGACCAAGGGTTGACTGTGAGTCAGCAGTAGATCCTGGT